TATATTTGTTTGTAGTAATATCACCAAAATCACATTGTTCTCCCTAATAATCCATTTCTTCATCTTCAATAATATGTAGTTGTTGAGTCTAATTCTTGAATAATTTTCCATTGATCTATATAATACCCTATATTGAACAATAATGTCATCTTAAAACGATTTTTGAAAGTAAGACAAGTAAAGATGTCCAACTCAATATGGATATTAAACTTGAAAGAAAAATTTCGGTTAAGAAAGCAAAATGAATTGGATACTTGTCACTTTTGTCCACAACATTTTTCTATAAACATAAGCATGTCACTTGTCTTTAATCTTATTTATGATCAACCATATCAAGAAATAGTCAAATTGTTTTAATCTTTCACATTTTCTGACGCAGACAAAAACATTACGAATTAAAAAGCGCTAAACCTGGAATAAAAACAAAAGCTTGCAAGCGACAAATCTATCAGATAAAATTTAGAGTCCACCAAAAGAGAAAATTGTTTGAATTTGATTATGATAAAAGATAACCTTAACTACCACATCCAAAGTATTTAAATTCAGAAAAGAAACCCAAATGCTAAAATATTCAAAACAAAAAAAAAATTGCTAAAAATGTGGGAAAAATTTGGAAATTGTTAAAATTGTGGAAAATAATAAAATTTTGTTTTCGGGCATGAAATGAACTCAGATGGCTAAAAAATCCCAAAGGTCATGACAAAGCCATGATTTAAACTCACGAGCCAATTCCCTATTCAGAAAGGTATAATTAGAGTCATTACGACATCGAACGCCAAACATTTGCATGTCTTGCCAGACTGCTCAGACACACAACTTCTTATTCGACACGTGTGGCCTGTAACACCCTTCTAACCCCGCAGAATAAATATAAATAGATCAGAGTAATTATCATACATTTCACAAAAGGGTGTCACATAAATTTTCAAAACATCACACAACACCTGTCATGCTCAATAATATAAAAATAACTTTCTGCTTTTCATACACCTTTACATTAACATGTAGCAGCAAATTTGCTTTAATCATGATAGACATAATAAAGGTCTCATGCTCATCTCATTTTTTTAATACTTAGGCTTAAAAGCTAATTCTTCATATAATTCAAAATAACAACAACAGAATAAGGTAGAGTACATAAAATATCCCTCCAAATATGAAATCAAAATATTCCCCGGTGTTACATAATCAGAGCATGACTCGACCCAAAATAAATAAAGACACAACTCAAGCTACTCCAACGGCTACCTCGTGCTAGAATCAACTCTACTCCTCAGTACCTGAGCGATGTCATATAAAACATCATTCCAACAGAAGGGTGAGAATTCACATAATTATTGAAATTATAAGATAATATATAATTTAAGGCATACAAACATAATCACTATTATTCTCACACTTCAAAAGTTTTATCAACACAATATTATTCAAGTAACCATACTATTCATAAGTATATACACACAACTCCATAATTCACCAATTTATCAGTTCCACATATCACACGTAATCACATAGCACATAAATATACATAATGAGACTCAATGCAAAACTCAATGCAAGACTCAATGCAACTCATGCCATGTGGTACCAACACTCGTTATTATTTTTCGGTTTTTACACTTAAACCGGGTCCGTTCCCTAGACCAATAACACACAAAAAGCCCATTCCCTAAGCTTTCAAACCCCGCTCTAGGTTTGGGACAAGTCACTAGCTCCCACGGAACTAACAAACATTGCCTCTTGACACAAAATGATGTATATGCAAATTCAACAATCATATGAAATTAAAATCATACTCAAGTCTTAATATTCATGCATATCTTCAATAATTCATCGCATTTGAATTACCACACATTTGCACATACACTAGTATCACACAATCCAACCTCAATTCACAAAACACATATTGCCAATTAAATATAAAATAATTAATCTATCACAAATAATTAAATTTAATATGTATAATTAATCAATATTCAATAAATAATTCAATATTTTAATATCTAATCAAATATTTAAATAAAGCTTCAATAATTAATAAACATCCAATATTTAATAATTATTGAGTAATTTTAATAAATAATTCTAATTCATTAATCATGCACATATTATAGCCCATACAGTGAAAGAGAGTCATAATTTGATACTCTAATTCTTGCGCTACAGTATTAAGACTAATATGAAGGATTCACACTATAATGCTATTATTTTAGGTGCTACAGGATATGATAAAATTCACTATATTTCATTACCTCTAATTTTCCACTACAGCAGGTGAAAAGAAAATGGATCACTATATTAATTAAATATTATGGGTAGTCATCATCATATCTCATATTTATTTATAATAAATAATAGAACTATAAGTATTTCATCACATGAATAAAGCCATTGTTCTACTAGTTGCTACAAGATTGGATTAATTAAAAATCACAGTACAATGTATCTATTCAATATTGTCGCTACAGGTGTGGACTCACATTATATAACTTGGTATCTACATTTTAACTTCAGTAATTATTGCTACCTGTTAATTATTTCCTATAAAAGAAAATGATAAAACGCTACAGCACATGAAGTGACAAATGAATTCACTTTTCCTTATTTTGGTTTGGCGTTTCAATAACAATTTGAGCTACATATCATTATCTAGTACTTATCTGCTACAATAGTTGGAAAAAAAAAATACCATATCTCATTTTAATGCCTCACCGAACGTATTGCCACAGTAGCTGGAAAAAGAAAGGATCATATTGTTTTTCGTTACTGTTCTGCAATAAATATGTATTTTTTTCAACTCCATTGGGTTCACTTCAAACATTGAATGGGTCTCTATACTATACCAAATATCAATTTCAAACACCATTAGAATAACACAACTCAAAAATTATCTCTAAAACCTAATAATTTCCAATCTCATAAAATTTTGGGGATTTATCCTAAACACTTTCTACTACTCATTTATACACTATCATATAACCCAATAATCATACAAAAACCCACCCTTACCTTGAATTTGTTGAACTTTTGCTCTTTCTCTTGAGTTTCCTCCTCTTCTTCTCCACTCCTCTCTTTGCCTCTTTTCTCCTTTCTATCTTTTCTTTCTTTCTATTCTCTTTTATCTCATTCTCTTATTTTATATAATTCTCACAATTTTAATTAACCGAGTAATTCCAATGGGCTTAATAAGTCATGTCTATTCACACCCCCAAATAGGCCCAATCAATTAATCTAACAATTCTATATTATTCTACAAATTAGAATATATCATATAAGTTAAATAATAAAATTAAATCAATTATTTCGAATATGTCCAATAATTCAATTAATCCAAACAACTCAAATAAATCAAATAATTTATATAAATTCAATAAATCAACTAATTCAATTATATCAAATAAATCACATAAATTAGTTAATTCAATTAGGCCTAAAATCACATAATTAATAAAATAATTACTAAAAATTGGGGTGTTACATGGCCAACCTTCCTACATCATTTCCTGAACACACACATATATCTTCTTGATAATTATCCATTGTTAAGTGTCCCACATCGAACAATCTATAGCCTTAAACATGTGTTTATAAGTGGGAGAAAATTTCACCTTACTAGCCGGTTTTATAGGGTTGAGTTATGCTCAACCACACAAATTTAAGATGGTATCAAAGCCTCGTTTAAGATCCATTGGGCCATCCACCATGTAGTTCCACGCCCCAGACGCAAATCCTGGGTGTGAGAGGGGATGTTAAGAGTCTCACATCAGATAATCTATGGCCTGAACATATGTTTATAAGTAAGGACAATCCTTACCATACTAGTCGATTTTGTAGGGTTGAGTTAGACCAAACCACACATTTTTAAGATCCATGTACCATGAAAAAAATCTAATCTTTATTTTTTCTATGTACAACTTATTATGAGGAAGAATGTCCCTTATTTTTGTTGAGAAAAAATGTGAGTTGGAAGTGTTGAGAAACAAAGTGTGGAGAAGTCTCACATTGATTAGAAAAGTGGAGATTGATCACTTTATAAGTGAGAGAATCCATGCACATATTACCTTAAGGTTTTGAGTGAGTTTGTGGTGTACCTCTCACTTAGTGTGTTGTTTTTAAAGAAAGGCTCCAATGTAAAATGCTTTCTCATGATGACCCCCAAATAATTGATGACCCAATAATGGTGTTAGAAGCTGAGGGTTCGAGTGGAGGCAAACTCCCTTGTATAAAAATAAGAACTTTTATAAAATACATACATTTGACAGTAAAGTAAAACATTGCAGAAGAAGAAAAGATAACTCATAAATTATGAAACTCTCATATTCACACATTTTCCATTTTGGATCAAAACACAAACATTTAAGAAGAATAGATATGAGAAATCGGGAAAAAATAAACACAACGAAACTTAAACAAACAAAAAGATGAAGTTGAAAAAGACAACTATAAGGGAATTTCGAATCAAAACAATATACGGTGAAAAGAAAAATAGAGAACATGCATTTCTAAAAACATGGTTCCGAAACAAAGAATGGTTTTGAAGATTTTCAAAAATAGTAATCATGAAAAAGATGAAGATTGAAGGCTAAAAATGACTTACTTGATAAAATATTTGAAATTCGTTCTTTACCGTGTTAGAGTATCCACATCCATGTCACTCAATCTAATATCTTAAATGAGCCCATATATATATTTATATTATTTTATATTTTTTAATAATTTAAGACACTCTACTGCATTTTATAAATATCTATGTCATCCATCAAAAAAATTAAACTGGGTCTCACTTATCATATTATACAGTAGAAACTCTTTAAATTAATACTCGGTAAATTAATAAACTCTCTAAAATAATAAATTTGTCCGGTCTCGATTTGGGCCAATGTAAAAAATTGAAAAACTCGATAAAATAATAAGATAATAATTTTTCGGGAGATCCCTTTATAATTTTCGGTCCCAAGAAAATCATAAATTAATAATTTATAGAAACTAAAAAAAATATATTACACTCTATTGAAATATGATTCAATAGTTGTCTGTTTTTCTTTAAAGTTCAAGTCTATTTGGAGCTCATCTCTAACTTTTCTTATTACATCCAATAGCTCAGGTGTTGTATTTTTGTATTGTATCATAAAGTTGTGAAGAGTGTTCGACGCCATAAGTGCTTCCTTTCGCGTAACAGGATCCAAAGACCCTGTATCATCTTCGCCGTCATCCTCTGCATTGTTCTCAATGATAGTATCCACAATAGCTTCTAAACTCTGAACCTCCGAACATGCTTCATTTTCACCTGGGTAGTTCATTAGATTGTCGATATCCATCTTATTACGATAGCCACATTGATTGATCATAGTCTCAAGGTCTTGAGTTTCTTCATCAAAAGTGGATTCATCCAAATTTCTTGCAACGTCACTAGGTGAACGAATTTTATAGTGTCGGAAGCAATTCGCTATTGTTTCTTTTTGAACATCTATCATCCAAGCTGGGATTGCCAAATTGATAGCATCAAGGACATTTATCTTCCCTGGATCAGATTGTCCCACCTTATAACCTTCCAATATTTTGCAGTAAAACCTTCTACGGTAATGCATCTTGAAAGCTCTTATTATCCCATCATCACAAGGTTGAATCTTTGATGTCATGTTGGGTGGCAAGAAGAACAAATCAATGTTTCTTAGCCCTTCAATATTTCTTGGATGTGCTAGACAATTATCCACCACAAGTAGAACTCTTCTACCATGCATCATTTGGTCAAATGAACGAACATATTCATCAAAAAGCACACTAATCATCCATGCTTTTTTGTTAGCTCGATACTGACAATCCAAGCTATTCATGTTAACATTCTTGAAGCAATGAGGCTTTGCATATTTTCCAATAATCCTTAGAGGGATTTTTTCAGAGCCATCTTCATTGCAACAAATAATTACCGTCAACTTTTCTTTATCTTGTTTTCTTCCTTCAAGTTGTTTTGTTTCCAGTGAATGATCAGCTTGTAGCCTATAAAACAACCCAATTTCATCCATATTGAAAACATCTTTCATAGGGAACTGATCAATTTTCTCCCGAATCGATACCAATTTCTGTTCCATGTCTTGTACATCAACAAACCCACTCTCGCCAAAATGACGAAATGACTTTATGCCATGTCGGTTCTTGAATTTCCCAAGCCATCCTATAGAGAAGTTAAAATCTGAATCATCATGAGGGTACAAGAGTTTTATTGTATCTGTTTCCTTCTGCAAAATTAATTCTCCTGTGATATTCACACGTTCTTGATGCTGGAGAAACCACTCATAAACAAACTTCTCCATGTCAGAATATTTTACTGGTTTGTGTCTTTTGATATCTGTTCCTCCCTTTTTTATTTCAGTAGAGAGATATTGAGTTTTATTACATACAATATTTATTTAGACGCCTATTGATTTGAAAGACTACTAAAATATAATAGCATGCATTCCATTTTTGCACCATTTTATTCTCTGAAGAAAATATTTAGAGTATCACGTGAGATGCAACTCATCTTAACATAATTCAATGTAGCAAACAGTTTAATTTTCAGGCATGATTATATTTAATTGTTCTATTTTTTCAGATTACTAACGATGTGAATGTCATATCCAATGTCTGAGGACCTTAAATCTCTTTAATAGTAGTGATATTAACAAAGAGCTTACCATAAATCCACTGGAAACCAAAGCTGCATCGTAAAGAAGATCAATAGCTCTGAAGGCCTCTTGGTCATCGGGATTAGTTTTACAAGCAGCCTATAATTTACCGATGTAATTACATCACTATTATTTTAGTTTGCAGTTAATTATATCATTAGACTTAGGACACATGACAAAAATAGATTCGTACGTCCAAGTTCTTGATAATAGGATGTTCAGGGTTGATCTCAAACACCCTTCTGCTTCTCATGAATTCCAAGCTAGTGGCATCACCCATTATTTGTGACTTCATTAGCCTTGAGCAGCAAGTTCGATTTACATTCAACACAATGCTACTTACATTTTCAAAAACATTATAATGAAATGTGTATGATAAAGTAAGACCCACCTTTCCATGTTTGCAGACCAACCAAATTTTCCTGACACCAGGCTAAGAGCTCAATCGGTTTGAAATCTGCACACTTGCAACTTTATCTCCCAAACATTTCTTAATCCAATCAATTGTCCCACTATATTCCTACTTAATCTCTTTTTCCTTTTCCTCATTTTTGTCACCTGCAGAAACAGAGACAACAAACTACATTTAGCAAGTTTAAATGGTTAAGAACCAAACCATTAATCCATGCCATTGTAAGGGATACCAGCAAATATTTGATCTATGAAACACATAAGCTTTTCAAAGTTGAGTGATTGTTCAGTATAGAATTTAATCCAAAACAAATTACGAGAAGGAAACATAATTGAAAAAGAACTAAACCTAGACCCAAGTCTTCCTTGCTAATATCAACAAAATTCTTTTCCTTGTATGATTTAATATTTTGCATGATTTAATAATGTGTAAATATTCATTAAATGTTTTCTTGTAAAACTCGTTGTAGTCCTCTTTGGTTACTTCTTTAGGATTACGAAGCTGCGCAAATAGAATAATGTGTAAATCTTCATCTTATGTAACCAACTTCCACTTTAAGCACAAATCATGCAGTTGGAAATCATAAAACTAACCCAGATAGGTTGTGTCTCATTTGTGAGCTCCCAGTCCCAATACTTCTCAACAACAGTCTTAGTTTTCTTCTTCTTCTGTTATAAAAATGCATCAGATTATAAAATGGCCAGCACATATGCAGCAGTTATACAATCAAATTTGTAATCATAATTTCATAGACAATTGATTCAGGGAATGCACGGTATGTGCAAAACATTACCTCAGTCTTCTCATATTGGTTGTCCGTTTTTGCCTCAGCTGGATCCTCATCAACCTCTATCTGTAATGGACAAATTATGATAAAAGCTCAAAAACCAATTTCACATCCAGTTTTCAAGGGTTGTGGAATGAAACAATCACAAAAACGGACAGCGTCAACAAAATTAAAAGATCTGGAGTGCATAGTCATACTTCTTTGGTGAATCCCTTTTCCTGCCAAGTGTATCGCGTATCGCAGTAACCGCAATGACTGCAATCACAACATGCACAACCGCGACCACAATTTAAAACCATGGTATTAAGAATGAGGTCTAGGATTTCGATCACTATCGCTAACAAACTCTCTCCCCCCGACAGATTAACAACTAACATTTTCGTATAATACATAAATAAACTAAATCAATTACATATATTATTAAGAGTGACTACTCCAATTTCTAGTTCAAAAGAGGGTAGATAAGGATCAAAATATTAAGGTTTATTCTTACCATGATCAAAATATCGAGCCTGCGAGCTACCCTCATGTTTTCAAATGTAAATTCTCAGTTATATAGTTTTCTTTATAAGCAGAAGATGGCACGGGGAATGAAGAGTAAAGAAGTAAATTAACCTTGAATGCAAGGATGCGAGGAGCTGGAAAACGAAACTCGGTCAGCTCTTCAGCTAATGTCCTGCATGCAGCCAAAGCAGCGACACTTTTTCCTTCATCGGCTACAAGTTCCGCACCCTATCCATATTGGAAAAAACTAACAATCCCACTATCACAGGAAATAAAACAAATAACTAAAATCTTCTCTATACATTTTCATTTTTCAGAAAATCAATGACATGTTTAGGAGCAGTAAAATGCCTCACAAGCCTCTCCAAACACCAATCAATATACATTCCCTTCGAAGCAGCCTGCAAAAAATACATATTAAAAAAACTTCAATAAAAATAGGGTTACAAAGTATAAAATGGATATGACTCCAACAACAGAGTAGTTATTTTAATTTTCTATTATTCAAAAAATTAGGGTTACAAAGTACAAAGCTTTATTTAAATACCATGTTCTCTAGTTCACCAGTTTACACCTAAACCATACCATAAGTGGCAAAGCCCCCTGCACCCAACCCCTTAGTCGTAACCCAATAGGCTAAACAATTAACCTGCAAGATAGCACACAGTGAAATGGAACAAAACCTACAATGTAACATACAATAAAATGGAACAAATAATTAACTTGAAGAAAAAAAAGGAGATGAAGAACAAAATTACGAGTTTGTCAGAGTCGCGATATACTTCTGAAGGCCATCAATGCTAGAGCAATATCAACATTAGATTTTACATAGAAATCTATGATTGTTTGTTTATAAACAAACACAATCAATCAAATTCTTAGGTTTCTTTATTTGAGGTGGTGGTCATTGTAAATAGGGTGTAGAAAGAGGAGGTGGTTGTGCTAGGGTTTGGAAGAAAAAGATAGAAGAAAATAAAGAAAATGGAGAAAAAGGAAAATTGAAATGAGAGAGAGAAAACGTGAGAGGTATCAAAAAAATCAAAAGTAAAGACACGTGTCCTTGCTAGAAAGGTTAGACTTGTTTATTAATTGGTCAATTTGTTAATTACTCTTTAGATTTTTATGTAGCGTAAATATTTTAGACAGGAAGGATAATATAGGAAGTGTATGCAATTGATTTTTGATGGATAGATAGTAGATAAGCCACCGTCGGTGCATAATTCAACGTAGCTTTGGACATAACTTTCAATTATTTATTCTATAAAATATAAAGTTAGTAAATATTGTGGGATTAGTAAGATCCAATTTAGAGTTTTTGATAAATGGATATGATATTTAAAAAAATTGAGTGATTTAAATAATTTGAAAATATAAAATAATATATTATATTAAGTGGGGTGTATTTATACTACTAAATTGATTGACATGAATATAGATGCTCTTAGTTTACAGATGGTTGATGTAAGAATGATGAAAGGAAAAGTTATGAAGATGTTCTTGTGTTGCGTTGCAGTAAAATGAAAAGAAAAGTTTCTCTCCTTAGAAAGAGATAGAAAAGTAAGCCGGAAAAAAATTAAAAATTAGAAAGAGTTTAAGATCGGACACGTCAGATTAATGAAAAAGTATGAGTGACTTAGACCAACTTCAATGAGAGTTCTTAGAGTGGGTTTGTCAAGAAACTTTATGAATTAATATGTTTTTTTTTGTCAAGAAACTTATAGGTTGGAATTCAACTTTTTAAAGGAGAAGTGAAATGTAAATATATATATATATATATATAACTTTTTTTTAAATATTTCAAATTTTATTTTTAATTTTTAAAATATTTTTTTAAAAAAATGATAATTTTAAAATATTCACATTTTTAATTTTTAATATTAAAATTGTCGCTAATTCAATTGCTTGTATCACATATATTTAAGTGGCATCAACTATTACGTTTTCCATTCCCACCAATTTTCTAAAATTTACCTCCATTCATACTTATTCAAATTCTTATTTTGTGTTCTAGGTTTTTTTTATCGAATCCCTTTATTTGTGTTGTTTGCTTCCGATACATCCAAATGAGTTTCTTTCTGCAACAAGTTGTCTGCTCAATTTCAGATTCAGCCTTCAACGGTTAGTTTCTGTTCTTCGAATCCATCTCTTTCTGTTTTTTTATTGGTTTTATGAGCTGAATTTGATGTATATAGAGTTTGTTTTTGTTGTTGTTTTGTTTTATCAATCAGAGAAAAAGGAATCTTTTCAATTATCCAGAAACTATGAATTCATTGTTAGTTGTTATACTCACTTGTTAAGTAGTCAAATAAGGTCAACTAGGCTATCGTCTTTATGAAAAATAAAACAATCTACCCAGCATTTTAGTTCAGAACTTTTGAAACAAGTTTTTGAATTGTTGATAACCGGTTCAACATCTGAAAATCAGTTCGGTACGATAGAAGTTTGTGTCATTGTATTCTATGTTCTAACTTCAGAAGTCCAGAGAGTCTTCATTTCCTTGTCATTTGATCTTCCTGATCAATTACAACAACGAAAATTAGGTATTTATCCGAATATCTTTTACCTTGGTAAAATGCTTGAGATTGTTACATCATTGATGGAAGGAATGTTAGAACTTTTTGAGGTGGATGCATCCCCATGGATCATTCTTCCGATTGAAATTGCAGGCTGTTTGGGTTTTCGAAAGGTCATTTTGTCACTAGGCAACATTACATTGATAATGCAGTAACTATAAAACATAGTAGCAGATACTCTGCTGGGACAGCGCTCGAGAACATCTCCTTTGTCAGTGCTACAAGCCATTTTAGGTAAACTTCTACACAAAGATTTATAAAAAGAATAGATTAAAAGAATCAACTATCTAGGTGAAACTATAGTTATGGGTACTTCATCAACATAATTATCCTTAGTACTTTTCGAAGTTGGTCCAACTGAAAATGCTGG